TAGTAGTAGTAGTAGTAGTAGTGGTGGTGGTGGTGGTGGTGGTAGTAGTAGTAGTAGTAGTAGTAGTAGTAGTAGTAGTAGTAGTAGTAGTAGTAGTAGTAGTAGTAGTAGTAGTAGTAGTAGTAGTAGTTATAGTAGCAACAACAGCAGCTGCAGCATTAGCTAGTAATTCTTATATTCAATTTTATTTTTCATGTGCGTTTCAGCTTTATCACAGAGAGTACAATTATTTAACTGGCATTAAACATCCGGCACACCCCTTTAGTGAGTAGACCTAGTGTAAAATGTTTTTTTATTGAAATGTTTGACATTACCCTGGTCCATAGTTACATGTGATGATGTTTGCTGTAGCCCATGAAAGTCCACTTGGGTTATTGCAAAATCTAACTCCACAACCAATACGATTCGATGTCGCCCAGACGTTCTGTAAAATGAAAAATATACTGTTTATTTGAAAACATGTTGTCTTCATGGTTATCATTATTATTATCATTATTATTATTATTATTATTATTATTATTATTATTATTATTATTATTATTATTATTATTATTGTTATTATTATTATTATTATTATTATTAGGCCAATTATATTAGTAATATCATCATCGTCGTCGTCATCGTCGTCATCATCATTATCATCATCCTCATCCTCATCGTCATCATCACCATTATTATTTGATGTTAAACAAACCTGTGTGTCGTCATGGTTATTATTCGTCATGGTTATTATTATTAGTCGTCATGGTTACTATTCTTATTCTTATTATTATTATTATTATTATTATTATTACTATTATCATTATTAGGCCAATTATATTATTAATATCATCATTTTCGTCGTCATCGTCGTCATCATCATTATCATCATCCTCATCCTCATCATCATCATCACCATTATTATTTGATGTTAAACAAACCTGTGTGTAATGTCCACACACATGAGTGCAATTGTTGTATTCGTAATCATAGTACTGATCTTCGTTGTTCCATGCATCAGTGGCTTGCACTCCATTGGTGCCATCATTGGATGATGCGTAGAGATTCTGACCAATCCATGAATATGGTGTTAGATTCGGCGTTGGTTGCCCGTGACCATAGTGACATCCATCAGACCACTGCTGTGCCATGGTTGCTAAATTATCATCCCACTCCTATAAGCCGAGAGAGAGAAGAAAACATATTCAATCCTATAAAACTGCGACATCAACCGACAGTAGGCCTATTTAGGCATTCGATTTGCGCGACGACGTGATCCTAAAACAGAACAGTTACTTTGACAAAGAGAAGAAAAATAAAAATGATACTCAAATTGCACTTAAACATGATTCAATTGAAACGAATTGTCAACCACACGTCATTCACGTATGAAAATTAAATTAAAATAAATTTAAACAGACTTAAACAAGTGCAAAAATGGGATGATCTGAAAATCCCCCATGTTTTTAGTTGAAGAATGGGATGGGGGGGCCATGTTTTTAGTTGAAGGGGGGGGGGGGGGGGGGGGGGCGGACAGAAAACCGTGCTAGGGCGCGTGTTGTCTCGCTGAGATCAGATCAATGAGATGAGGAAAGCCGCCTGTCCTAGTGTAAAAATAAAAATATGGGCGCCTTCAATGTTCCTATTAAAATACACACGCTAAACTTGGCATTTAAATTTGTTTAATTGAAAATTGTCAAACAAACGTCGTGAACGTATGAAAATCACAATAATTAAACAAATGAAGACAGACCGGAGCAAGTGAAAAGATAAGGTGCTCTGAAAATTCCAAAGGCTCTAAGTCTGGAGACCCGACTAGCAGCCCATTCCATTGCTTCCATTATAATAGTCCTAATGGTTTTAATTATGATTGTTGTTAAAGTTTATTTATTGCTGCGATTGTATTTGACACGCAATCTCGCGTTTCTCAAGGTCAGGGCATGTCAATCATATTATTCTTCACAGTGACTGTGACTGTTGCATTCTGTTAGATCAAAGAAGGTGATTAATCAAACAATTTCCAATATAATTAAACTGTCGGTTAAAATAATCCCACTACATATAGGGCCTACATACTTAGGCCTACATTATTGCAACTTGTTGTTATGCTGTAGGCCCATACAACTTATCTCTTTAAAATAATCTGAGTTGGCTATAAAATAATTAGGCAAATAACATCTTTAAAACGATGATAATAAATATTATGCTTTAACTGATGACCTTGGTTAGATGGTCTGATTTACTTGCTTGTCATGTTATATAAGTCACCTGGTAATGAGACGTAAAATAATGAGGTTTAATTCCCATTTACACCTGTATGTGAAATGACCATAAGAAATGGCTATATACTGTAGGACTGTTTGCATATTATCTTTTTGTTGTTTGAACACTACTTCAAACATGATATAGGCCTACTATTTACTACTCGGTTATGTCATCATGGTCTTACTAACGAAACGTCAATATGTATTTTCAGTATCAAAATAATATACAAATAAACAACCAGTGACATGATATTACGATTTTGTTTCTTTTTATCCTGATAGAGGTACTCGTTATCCAAACACCGTATTAATTGGGATCTTTGGTGTTTGGCTCAGATCACTTCCTGCGTTTCGCCGGCAAGTTTCTGCTCAGTCATGAAGGTAGAAGAATACCATGCTGGTAAAGTAAATATTAGTTTTTATACCTTTTTATAGCTAATCTAGGCTTAGAATAAGCTCATGTTGTTGGAGAATAATAGATGATTATCAGTGCTGCTCTGCTCTAATCTACGTTCTTTTGCCGTTTTCCTCTATCAGTATTCCTTGCAGAGGGAGAGAGAGAGAGAGAATTAGATAGAAAAAATTGATTGTTTTGATACACTAGAAAATAATTGAAGGTGATTTTTTATCTACTTAGCATTGACACAAAATTGACCGATTTCATAAGTTGACTGTTCCAAGTCAGCCAAGAGCGTCTAAAAAACGATCCATCGGATTCCAGAAAAATTGTGGTTTTTTTTTCCATCATAGGGCCAACTTTCTCTTTGACAGACAAGACCTTGGCTCCCGGCCTCGGGACACTGGATCAACATGGATCCTTTCATTTCAATTCGGTTGGTCACTCATTTGTAAATTTCAAAATTATTACAATATCAATTGAAGCGACACACTGGTAAAAATATAAACATCTTCTTGGACCTTAGGCCTATGCGTTAAATCACGCCACCTTTTCGGACCAATACACTCCAGTACGCTAAATTAGGCCCTATAATTAAAGAGTATTTCAAAAGTATTATTACCACTGTTTATTCATTCCTTTACCGTCCCATAATGACCAGTAGCTAATTTCTACAAAGACGATAAATGAATAGACTCTCTTAAAGTAGCTTTCAAATAGATCTGAGCGCATCTTCGAGTTTTTAATTATTTGTCTATATACATAATTTCAGACTTTCTTTTCAGATACAGAGCACCATTTCCCATGTGTCTGGGTCCACATGCTGAATTTGCTGATCAGGTAACTCCACCAGAGGTTCCCATTCCCATGTACTCCTGAGTGAAGCATACTTCCATGGATGAAG